TGTCTGCGGTGCCCTCAACAAGAGCCAAGATAAATCAATTGTAGCTTGCTGTGGGATTGTATCACGGTTGACATCCTCAGCAAAATACAGTAATACGAAGGCCCCCTCGCCACCAGCTGCTTGTCATCACTGCTGACCATACAGCTGCCACAACTGTTTCCTGACGTCCAAGCCGGGGTTAAGCCCCCACGTGCTGTTATGGTGATTTACTCCAAGCCTTTGTCCTGCTCCACAGATCCATCGTAGCTAACGAGTCAGGTCACGACCTAAGCTGCCCTCATCCAGCCCACTTGTCGACGGGGTATATAGGCCTATGGGGTTTCGCCTTTCGCACCAAAGAATAATGAACAACAATTCCCGGATAAATTATGATAATCCCAAAAGAAAACCTTCAAATGGGGCAGATACATCTTAACGTGTATTATCGATTGCCTATAATGAGAACGATTCGATATAACTATTTCTATATTCAGATAATATATAAATTTCCATATACAGTTATCACAATTTTTGTTTTGCATTTATAATATATTGATGTAGACAAATGGGTTAGTCAATCCGGCTGATACCAACTCGCCACACATATATTATGTAATAAATATGCATACGCACAAGATAAGGTCAAAATAAAAAACAAAAAAAACATCAAGCCCAGCACATGTGGAACTGAGGAAAATGTATAAGCTGGTTCGCATTTTAACTGAATGGCCAAGTCTGTGATGGAAAATAATCAAAACAACAAATTTACGTCCTTTGTTGAAAAATGTTATATAATACGTGTCAATATATAAGTCAATAGTATGACTCTTATCTTTATATACTCAGAATTGTTATATAATAAATGTGTGACGAATTGCCAGAAAGTGTGGCGAGTTGGTGTGCGCAGAATCGGCCTAGATGGAGATAAAGGACAGGCCTTAGAATGTCTCACATCCTCGTAGGCACGAATAGGTAAGCACACAACGGCCAATTCATGAAAATTAGCTATGTGTCAGGAGTGTGGCCAGCGCTCTGTGGTCCCCGACCCCGCGGAGCGTGGTCCCAGACCATTGCCCCCGGGGAGCCTTCAAACTCCCCCTCCTTCCCCACGAATAGTCACCCCGGGAAACCTGGATCATCCCTCTCCCATCTCCCGTTGAGCGTGACCTTTTACCACTATTCCAGTGAACTTTCCCGCCTCGTTTAGCGTATCCGGAGGGTCCTAGATCAGTCCCTTCCTCTATATGGCGTGACCGGAGGAACTTACATTATATCCCGTACCCTGTATAGCGTGACTCCAAGACCCTGAACAATATCTGCTAAGTAGCGTGGCTCCAGGAACACCGATCACCACTTCCACTCCACAATAGTGTGACTAGTGGAACCTGCAAAGTCCTTGTCACCTCTAACAGCGCAACTTAAGGAGTCTGGGTCATCACACTAGGCTAACAATACATCATCATCTCTACATAGCAGACGGTTCATTCAAGAAAATTCACAACCACTCTGCACCACAAGCCTATCTTATGTGATCAAGTTTAATATACACTAACTTAGGCCTTAACTCGGAATGTCTTAGCCTTAAAAACAGTCTAAATATTAGATATCGTTACTTCCCTGTTCGCCCATTTAAACACCCTACAGTAATTAGGGACCTAGATATAAAACAATTATCGAATCCTGTTCTAAGGAATATGTGACCCATTCTTAGCTGTCAATAAAATTCTTCATTGTAAATTAAACCCCTCAAATATATACCTTCTCGAATTAACTTTGATGTAAATTGTAATTGTACCTAAAATACCAGAGCGAGGAGTCACTACGGTACACACAAATTATTTGGTAAGTAAAATTCTGAAATGTGATTTAGAGATGTTTTTAAAACATAAACAAAAAGTTGGATGAAGTCATTTCCGCGAGTGGGTGGTGCCCCTGAGCATGTCATGAACGATCACGAGGGGGGGGGGGGTGTCGCAGCAGGAAGCACCTGATACAAAACCCTGTGTTAGTAAAGGTAATCGTGCAGCCCTAATGCGGATCACAACAGTTAGTGCCGCCACCCCCAATATTAGTGTAAACAATCACTCACTTGCCACAAAAAGGTTAAAGAGGTGGGAGGGAGGTGCATGACTTCCTTTTCCCCTCCACAAGTACTAGACGTAACTAGAAACGGAATTATATCTCATAACCCTAGAAGTAACAGAGGGAATATAATCATACCATACACGATACTGAGGGGAATAAACAACGTGGGAAAGGATAGCCTCATTAAATTGAAAGTAAAAGACGATATAGGTGGAAGCTGGAAACGCAAATGACTGGAAGAAATATTGTTTCCCATGGTCGTACACAGGAAGCCTATTATGTATATCGAGGTCCCCCATAGGCCAACTATTTATCACCGGTGTGCAACCCACCACTGTTGCATAATTCCCGGGTACCTATTTTCTGTTAGTTGAAAAGAGGCATCGGATGAAAGGAGAACGTGCCCAACGTTTCTGTAATGATGCGCGAATCAAACCCAAGGCTATTCGTTTTTGAACTGACTGCCCAAACTACGGCGCTAGAGGAAATATTCGTGTCCTGTACGAGTTGTCAACAAGTGCAATACACTGAAAGAAGTTGTAGAAGCCAACTCCATCCATTGGTAAAGTTTTAACGTCAAGAACGTTAAATTAAACGCAACAGGTACAACAAGGCTATAGGCGGGTCATTAAGAACTAGACCTCACCCGTTGTCAGTTAGGTAAACACACACCCACACAACGCATACACACACACCCACACAACGCATACACACACACCCACACAATGCATACACACACACCCACACAACGCATACACACACACCCACACAACGCATACACACACACCCACACAACGCATACACCCACACCCACACAACGCATACACACCCACACAACGCATACACACACACCCACACAACGCATACACACACACCCACACAACGCATACACACACACCCACACAACGCATACACACACACCCACACAACGCATACACACACACCCACATGCATTCCCGCAACACATACACCAACACAATTCGCGCCCACACGCATTCCCGCAAAACATACACATGCACCTACACAAGCGCGCACACAACGCGCGCACTCACACACACCTCTCTAAACGTTCACCCCCTACAACAACCTTGACTTGCCACACTCACGCCTCGCCCACCACCCCATCTCACTCGCCACCATCTCAAGCCTGCCCTTATTACCACACCTGCATTTATTATCATTATATTAGACCACAGAGCCCAAGAGTTCTTACAAGATTTATCCAACTGATCATTATTTTCATATAAAAAGGAGAATGAGTAGTTATTATATGTAGATACAAACTCAACAGCACGGCCAGATGTGCATACTACCCTTCAGGTTCGAGTACACGAGCTTATCATCTGTGGGAGAGCTTGACTGCCGGTCACTTCCAGACGACAGCCTCTGCTGCGAGTGGGAGTCGTCGCCTGGCTCCGAAGGAATGAAGAAAGGCTTGCTGGGGCATCGTTGACGCCAGGTGACATTAACAACATAACACGGCAAGATAATCGCTCAGTATGGCCGCCAGCAGAACTATAACCACCTCTTGATCTTTGGGGAGACCTTGTAGCCCTTCTTTTATGACACTCAATGTGTTACGAGACATTCACTGACATATTAAAGCTGCTACCCTGCACTAAACATGGATCCATGCCATTTACAGACATACGCGTGCGCATCAATCATCCTGTTGGGTTCAAGGTGGGGTCTAAGATAAGATCTAATAAATTATACACGTAATGGGAAACGCACATTTTCCTCTGGTTAACTGAGTGAGTGGTAGTGACCCCAGTGATGCCCTATGACAATATAAAAATATAAATATTGACCCAGAGGTCCTGGAAGTGGATGTCAGGTCAGGGCAAACTGGCTCTGTGGGCGGGAATGGGTCATGGTGGTGTCGCAACTCTAAGCATAGTACTTTCACCAGGCGGCCGTCCAAAAGCTCACGACCCCCACACACACACACCTGGCCCACTCTACGTTGCTCGTTGCAGTCCTGCTAATGCATAATGCTCCTCACGTATAGCACACTAGTTGTATGTTGAGCCACCAACGCTGGCTTGCATCAAAGATGAATTTTGTTCTCGTGTGACATTGCATCGCAACAATCTACTATACTGAAAATAGTAAGTTGTACCTACTATACTAAAAAAAATAGTGCCATTATCATTGACCATCAAGATATGTTCAAGGCCACGTTCCAAGCGGCTACTTGCGTTACAATTGTAATTGGCAAGATGAGCGGCGAGATTCCATGGTGTTCCCGCCATCATTACGTCACTGATCACATCAACACGAAACTTTCAGCCCCTCAGCCCGTCACAACAACACTGATCTTCCCAGTCCTCAGCATGTACAGCAGCACGGATCTTCCCAACTCTCAGCATGTCAACTGCCACAGCAACACGGATCTTCCCAGTCCTCAGCATGTCAACTGCCACAGCAACACGGATCTTCCCAACTCTCAGCATGTCAACTGCCACAGCAACACGGATCTTCCCAGTCCTCAGCATGTCAACTGCCACAGCAACACGGATCTTCCCAACTCTCAGCATGTCATTTGCCAAAGCAATACTGATCTTCCCGGCTCAGCGTGAATGTCACTTGCCGTCCTCAGCACGTCAGTCCGAGTCTAAGCGGACTCGGTCCTTCATCTTGAATACAAAAAAATGTTCGTTCTCTGTCGATTGTCGTAACTGATAAAATAATTATATACTGTTTGTATAGCTTGATTTTGCCCATAACGTGGAATACCTAAGTCGTGTGCCAACTCGCTCGTTAATTAGGAACGTTATCACAACCTCCTTGAAGGACAATATCCTTGCTCCTGGGGAGAGTACACACATTCACAGATAACATTCACAGACATGTTACGCCTCAACAACCCTGTGTCACCCCCCAACAAAAAAAGCACTAAGTATTTGTTATGACTGCACGAGCATTCAACTCACCAAGACTTGCGTTGTCCTTCTAAGGTCTGATGCTGGGCGACGGTATACCCGAAGTGGGATTTTGGCGAACCCTTCTTGACGATGGGAATCCTTGGTTCTAGATTAAATGTGAAAACCACGGTAAACGCACACACACACAGGAAAATCACGATTAATCGACAGGGGACCGCCATGGCGAGCAGCGTATCCCGACTCCTCCACTTCCCAACACCAACTGGCCGTGGTCTCCGGGGTGAGGGTTGCCGCGCATCACCGGACTCCTCCGCCGACGTCCACAAACTTCTCGGAAGGCGCTCGGCCCAAGAAATAAACGAACTATGACGAAATGTTCCTCTGCGGTGCAGCCAATGTATAAATATGTATGCATCAGTTACAAGAAGTGTATAATCTTTCAAGTGAAGCATTGTCGTATAATGTAAATAGTTAAAATAATTTCTTGTTAAATGAGTGCGTTTGTGGTGATGTTCATCGCGCGTGAAAATAGTCCCCGGCTATATTTTCACGGTGTGAGATAATAGCGCGTGCGTGAGCTTAATGGTGATGTTTTAGCTCGGTGAGGTTTTCTGGGCGAATGAACAGTATGAGGTTTGGTTTAGTTGAAGTTACACATCGATATTTCCTCGTTTAACTATAAGAGGATGGAGATGCCAAACGAAGCATGTGGTTGGTTCCTGTAACTTTTATACAGCTGCTGCCACTCATAGCTACTGCGACTTTTGCTACTTCTTCTACCGCTACTACTCTGTGATATTACGACTATTGCTATTCATTCCTAATACAACTAGGAATGGCTGCTGCTTCTCATTGCTATTGCGGATCATTGGTGCTGGGGCTGTTAGTATTCATTGGTAGAACGGCTATTACTACTCATTGCTGGGGCGGCTATTACTACTTATAATTTTACCTAGAAATTATTTAAATGTTATCAAACCTCTCATTTTTCTGACCTTTCATCCGTTTTATCACCAGGGTGACGAAGCCTAAGCACCCCGCTTAGCCTAAGCACATTAACATTTTTTTTATTATTTACCATTCCTACATTTTTAAGTTTATTCTGTTGATGAAACACTACTATCATGAACAGCACTGTTTACTGGCCTCTAGTGCATTATGCAGCAAAATGCTCCTTAGCTTAGTAATGAATAATGAACAATAGACAATAAAGTATATTCTCCTCTAGTTAATTTTACGCTGCTTTTGAGGCTTCGCTAATCATTAATAGTTATTTTCCTATTTTCAATTTTGTTTGCCTAAATATTATAAAACAGTTATTTTATATATTTTATATTACCTCTCAATTCATCAAGGTCACCTATATTAATGACGCTATAATTAATATATATACCAATAAACACACATGTGTTAGGCTTCAGGTAGGAAACTGGCGCTCATATATTGTACTCGTAATTTGGTTCCTTTTTTCAGCTTGTGTTTATATATCTCAAAAACAAAATGGCAACAATTGGAAACTGGGTGATACAGACGAGCCTATTATTATATGAACATATATCTTGTTACTCTCCAGTTATCACGTATTTTATCACATCATGAAACAAGTGTTCGTATTTTCAATGCTATTGGCAGTTATGTTACCGGTATAAATTAATGTAAAAAACAAAATACATAACAGTATCAACATATTTATCTTAACATGTCTCATGTCCAGGTTCTCTACATGCACATTCCAAATAGTACCCTAATTCCCACTACATCCATTAATATCTACATCTATACAATATAATGTCTGTCTGTTCGAGAATGGAGGCCAGATGTTTAAGGCTAGTCTCACCAAACTTTTCAGGATGATACATGGGTGGTAAGGGGACTGTCATAGAAGAAGGACTGTCTAGGAAGCATCGACTGCTATCAAGTCTGAAATAATGGTTTTGTTCTTCAGAGTTTTTGAACAGTTTTCAGCTGTTCATCATACTGCATATTCTGAGAGAGAGAGAGAGAGAGAGAGAGAGAGAGAGAGAGAGAGAGAGAGAGAGAGAGAGAGAGAGAGAGAGAGAGAGAGAGGGAGGGAGGAGAGAGAGAGAGAGAGAGAGAGAGAGAGAGAGAGAGAGAGAGAGAGAGAGAGAGAGAGAGAGAGAGAGAGAGAGAGAGAGAGAGAGAGAGAGAGAGAGAGAGAGAGAGACAGAGAGAGAGAGAGAGAGAGAGAGAGAGAGAGAGAGAGAGAGAGAGAGAGAGAGAGAGAGAGAGAGAGAGAGAGGAAGGAATAGGGTAGGAGAAGGAAGGGAGGGGCAGAGGGAATGAGAAATGAGAGAATGGAAAGAGGAGAGGAAGGAGAGAAAGAGGAGATAGAGGGGGAAAGAAAGGGACAGGGAGGAGAGAGAGGGGGAAAGAAAGGGACAGGGAGGAGAGAGGAAAGAGGTAGGGAAAGGAGAAGAGATGGGGGATAGACCCGGCCTGAGACACCTCCAAGGAGAACGTGAGGTGGGAGGAGAGAATGCCAAGGTCGCTTCACCTCGGCCTAAGCCCCCTCCATCACCCCCACCCAGCACGAGGGCTGCACAGGCTGGACCTGCAGGTTCTGGAGGTGCGTGTGGCTGGAGGTGCGTGTGGCTAGGAGGTGTGGCTGGAAGGTGCTGGGGGCGAGGTGTGGTGCTCTACAGTAATGGTAACTCAGCACTCATTGTATCTCATCTTCAGCGGAGATCAAAATAATTGAGCTTTACCGGGGTACCCGGCCATATGGTTATTACAGGGAATGAACTGGAAGACACAGCATCAAAAATAGACATTATCACTTGTAGTCTATCATCAAGAGCCAGACCAATTTTGTTTAATTATTGCCCCGAAGGGCGAGTTTATTGGGCAGCGTTCATCATCTTGTGAGTGAAAACGCCAGTGGAGCAACAGGTACAACACCCCAATATAATAAAAACAATATTTCCATCCAGTAATGAACAATGTTACACATAAATATTGGAATGATAGCTGGTTAGTTGCAACCAATATACAATTACGTAATTTTAACAATGATTTAACCCCATGACCTTCCTCATATAAATTAAATAGGAAATGGGAGACATGGGTAGCCTAATAGCAGCCTTCTTACGACCTACACGAAGTATCCCGAACGGATACAAGTCACATCGTATACAAGACGATTCGCCAGCGGATTTGGAAGCTTACTTAACCTAACCTAGCTCAACCCAACCTAACCCAAACCAACCTAACCTACCCAACTGCGCCAAATACATCTTAACCTAAGCTAATACAGCCTAGCATAACACTATATACGCTTTTAACGAACAGAAAACGAGCTTCGTCGAATCGTCTCGTGTTCGAAACAACCTGTCTCTCTCTTGAGATGATGATTGATTGATTTCAATCATCATCTCAAGGGGGACTGGTTATTTCCCCTCATCCCCTCCCGAACTTGGTGGACATAATCGTGCCCCCTTGATGTCTCCACCACACTGTCTCGCTCACACTTGAGAGCGAAGACACTCAGACACTTCGTCGCCTCAGACGACGAAACTCAATCCCCTCAAGCATAACTAGGTGAGTACAGGCCCTCAATATACGTCTAGGTCTGACCCTTAATAGTTCAATTGCGAAGGGAAATTTGCCCAGCTGCTGGCAACTGCGCTACAAAACTGGGGATGAAGCACAAGACAACACACCAGTATCATTGAGAAGCCTTTCTTGTAAAACACAGTATTCAATACACACAGTATATCGAGGTGGTATATGACTTTTCAGCATGCAGGGTAAGAAAGGTGGTGATGCAATGATGCACACACCTTCCATGCATGAAGCTATATATCTGGAGGGATAGCATGGTTCTTATTCTATAGAGGTGGTTTAAGCCCATTCTCTCAAATGTTTTACAAATGCAGCAAGTAAGGGAAATTGGGCGGAAAGCATTCTCTTGATTTGTCTTGGGAATTGGAATGATTATACTGTTGGTCCAAGAGATGGGAAGTTTCTCAGTAACATAGCTGATATTATACAGCTCAAGGAGGGGATTTCCTGGTACTAAAGGAAGCAAACGAAATGTGTGTCATAAGTGATACCATCCTCACCGGGGGATGTGGCTTTACATTTGTTTAGGACCGAAAATAGTTCAGTAAATGCACGTTGCATTCATCTTCCTTGTGGAGCATGAAGTCAACGAGTCTTTCTCGATCTCCGTGACCAGAATTTAATCTGAATTGTGTGTCTGGGGGAAGATTATCGAAGCAAGAGGTGGTTGCCCAAGTATCGACTAGCTTGTTTGTTCTGTGTAGAGGGTGAGAGTGTGACAACAATGTATCTGTTGATAACCCTAAAATAATACTATTAAAGTATATGCTGTTTAAGATTCGTTACTTGGAACAAAAATTTCCAAGTAGCACGGGCTATAGTGAGCCCCTAGTGGACTTACCTGGCACAGGAGCGGGGTAGTAACTTGACTAAAGTATAGTATGTACTTTAACTTTAAATTTTATATATAAGTAATATATAAAGTATAATATGTACTTTATCTTTATCTATAAATAAAATAAAATAAAATGTGCTGTGTTATGGAAGGGTGAATATAGGTTTGATATTGTTATGATCTAGTTTGGGTTTAGGGGAAGACTGGATTTAGTAATTGAATAGCGTTTAATGTGATGTGGTAATTGCAGAAATAAACTATAAATAAATGTGGTTACTATGATCGAGATACCTTATTTTTCAATAGTAATTAAATATTTATCCATTGACGGCGTCCGTTTTTTCTTATGGAATCATTCCTTGGTGGGATGTTATTGGGGGAACCTCGTTGTTCTGGCTGGAGCGAGTGATGTATTTATCACTCAGAATTCGTTAATAAGCTTCGAAATGGAAGAATTTTATGAACACACATAAAGATTAGATGATTGTCTTTAATTTGCCGCTGATATTTACTGTTGGTTGAATGTACTAACACGTAATAACGACGAAATTCGTGGTTATAATGGGGGTTGTTGCCATATATCGACTGTTGCAATGGAGTGATCACTGTTTCACGGCAACGCAACGACAGGTTGCTCACCGAGTTAATTTGAAGTCTAGTTTCTTAGTTCGCTTGGCAATGGTACATTTATCTCTCTAGACAACAAGAATGTTTGTTTATATAATTGATTTAAACAATGGATGCACACGTTCATGTATATTAACTAATAAATTGCATATGGAATAGAGTCTAGTTTAATATACATGACATAAGTCCTCAGTCGTATCACACTATGGAGTCGTATCAATTACTAGCGTCCTTCTTATCTAGGCCTAGTTCTCTTACTTTTCAATTTTTATGGACTCTTCTGAGTCAAAGTTAAGTGTGTGTTCAGAGTTGGTCCCCATTATACAGCTTATTTAATTTATATTGTTTTTTTGCTGGGGTCTTCTTGTTTTTTTTTTATCTATAATATAATTTAGATAAATATTAATCACAGGGCAAAACACC